TGCTGATATCTAGCATTGCACAACAATTGGGGGTATGTGTCACTCTTTGTTGAGACTGTCGGTGATCTTATTCGTAGTGGGATGGAGACATATATTCAGTTCTGCAGTGTTCCTCTGGGTAGCTCTGAGGCTGCAATTGAGGGCGATCCTCGACATTTTGGAGAGAATTTATATTCGCTTTTTCCTGTGCCTTCTTTTAGTCTGTTGGCTTTTCAGTCCCCCTGTGGGACAGTGGTGAGTTTATGGACTTGCAATGCTGGAATCCGGGGGTTTGATTCCCTATACTGGACACAACAGATAGCCCATCATTGCTTTGCTTTAATCAAACAAATCTTTTTCCAATCAACACAGTCTTTAAATGACATATACAAACAAGAAGGAGGCCATTTTGGGATAAGCTGCCTTTGACTTGTTTTTGTCAGTTGGTTCATTGAGAGTGTGATGTTTTGTATCTTTCCCTGGTTGCTTTTAAGTTTTTAGTTTTCTTTCCATCTACAGACATTTGGTTCTTGCAGGGAAGTTTACTTCTCAGTTACGTGAAGGGACAGTTATGCCTTATCTGACATGTTTGTTGGAACTTCGTGATTTAGCCTATCACCATCAGGTGGAAGCATTTTCTGACTCTCAAGTTATACATCTGCTTCTCGAATTTAGACGTTTGAAGGCAGAGTTTGTAGTTAACCTAAATAGATCAATGTACCCTGATGGGACAGGGTAAGTCTATGGACTTACAACTTTAAAACCCAACCTATTGTGTTCATTTCACTTCACTTTGTTGGAAGACACTTAAGATCACCAAAACTTCATTGATGAAGAGCTGGAACCATTGTTAGCATGCACATTACTTCATTTGTTGGCTTCTACATTCATCTCTGTTGTCATTGATGTCTCAGATTTCATTGGCTCCTACAAGGGATCATAGTTCTGCCCCCAATCGTGTGTTCTGATCCCTGACATCAGCCCCTTGGTACATTAGTACCCAGAATAGATTCTGTCTGTATCTGAGGGTTCCTCTGATTGGTTGGATTGCTGTGATTTTTGTATGCCTTCAGGAATTATGGGGGGCTCAGCTCCAAGAATTTCTGGAATTGTGGTAACCTTAACCATGGATCCAGGAACACTAAAGGTCCTTGAGTCAGGATTAGTCATTCAGTTTACATCTTCACCACTATTATCCACCCAACCTGTAGGGTTTCTGTCTCCTGCAGATCCTAGTGGAATTTAGTCCTAGGGCTATCAGAGTTTGGTTGGTCTGGGAGTAATGAGAGAGTTGTGCTAGTTCTTCTGAGAGTTTATTCCCGTTGGTTGTTAGGCATAAGATGATGAGATTGGTGTCCAGTCAGCGATCTTTCTCGTCTATATCAATGCCTAGATTCTCTAAGGATCACAAGTTATTTATTCCTCAATCTGAGTTGACATTTTTTACTGGGATTGTGGATGTCCAAGTTTGTTGTAGTCGGCTCCTATCTGCACATTGCAAAAGTGGTGGTGTCCCACCATTAACATCATTTTTTGTGAACAAGGGTTAGATACTGCAGTTCCAGGTTATTACCTTCGAACTTGCATCAGCTTCACATGGGTTCTACCATATTGTATGAGTTTTTTCTCCTTACATCCATTCCATTGCACTGTGAACACACCATTCCATAGACGACATCCTGATTCTACTTTCAGAAACAACTGAGGTAGGCTTCATTCTCAGGGCTGAGACATCTATTCTTGCTCCAATTCAATAAGTAATCAGTCTGGGTATTTTTTATTTTTCATCTCATCTCTCAGTTGGGCTCAGTTGACTTCCATCCGGCTCCACGCTATGGAAGAGGAAGCTCGACTTTTACTCACCTCTCCTTCTCTCACTGCATGGATGGTTCTTTCTCTTCTGGGAATGTGGGCATCAATTGAAACCCTCCTGCAATTGGGATGAGAGCACAGGAGATCCTTTTAATAGTCTTTATGCAACCAAAGGATCATGAACATCGATTCACTGGATTTCCCAGTTTCCTTAGTCAAGATCATTCTTCAATCTTGACTTCATTTTTTGACCTGGCTCTTTGGCAAGAGTTTTGCATCTTCCATAAGGCTGCCTTATCAACTACCATTCGATACTAACAACTTAATATTCTTTGAGTTCCCAATACTCTCTGGATTCCTTTAGTTGCTTTGGGTTCTTGGTCCAAAATGACCATTCTAGTTACCTAACAGGTATATTAAGGTTACATTACATGCTGTTTCTCAACACCTAATTGGGACCTTATTCTCATGTGCCATGTATCCCCTTTGCCTAAAGGTTTAATTTTCATTGCTGCTGATCTACAGACATTGCCAGTCAGAGGGGTTTGCACTTTTAGTCCACAGACCACTTTCTCATTCTATCTACATACTCAGACCAGTTCTTCTTACCCAAGACACTGTCAGACAGGGAAGGGGATAAATCCTTTTCACTGATTCATCTGATCACTAATTCTCACTTCTGTGTCCGATTAGATTTCAATCGTTGTTATGTTCAGTGAGGGTCTTGAAGATTTTGTTGCCTGCACTAATGCCTTTAGAGATGCAAGCCAACAACGTTTATTCTGGACTCTCTTTGAATGCAAGGAATCTTCTGCGAGTCACGTCTAATCAGATTTGTCACATTTCTATGTCCTTAGCAGTCCGGTTTAATTGCCTGCTGGAGGACATTATGCGAACTGGTATGTGGACCTCCCCCAATACTTTTATCTCACATTATTTGCATAATCTGGCAGTATCTTTATCTGAGGGTTTTTGCCTACTCCCTTTAGCTATCTTAATCATTTCTGGTAGATTATTCAGAGGGGTGACTATATTTATATCTACCTTTCAGAGTTCCTAAACTTGTTTTCACAGGATCCCACTCTGTGGCAAGTGTTTCCGAGACAGGTGTACTTTATCAAACCAATTCTGCACTAGCAACCACTTTTTCACTATAATTACTACTGATTGCAACAGGCTCTGTAGAAATGAGGTGTTTCACAAAACCAACTAGGAGCTCACCAGGTGGTATTACCGTACTATGTTGGACTGCCACTCATGGACTATCATGAATAAAGCTTAAGGGGATCCTGTCCGTCCCTGCCCGATTTGAATAAATCAGGGTTGGTTTGCTTTTACAAATTTAGGGAACATGGTTCACCTATAGCACTGTTCCTCAGGACTCCTCAATGCACATTATACCTCATATTCTACTAGTGGAGTTAGGGAGTCCTTTCCACACCCAGTTTCCAGTCACTGGGGTGGTAAACAGAGGCTTTTCCTTCAGAGTGTTAGAGTGAATTATTTCACTCTTGGAGAAGAAGGCAAAGTTGGGGCTCTCCTACCAGAGTCCCTGGATGTTTTTTTCCCAGATATCAGTCTACATGGGAGCCTACTCGCAATACTGATTCAGATTTGATGCTCAGCTATTTGATTGAGGTGTGTATGGCCCTTCTTTTTGATCAATATCAGTTCATTACATTGTTCATGGAGGGGGTCCACAATCTCCTCGTAATTCTGAACGCGGAGTGGTCCCATCCTGGGTCCTTGGTTGAGCACAGTTGTTCCACATCTTCCCCCATAATTCCAGGGGCAAGTGGAATGCTTCTTGCCCCATCAGTTGGGGAGAGAGGATGAATATCAATAATTCCAGACTGGATGAGTTCTGTTGCTTTGTTTGAGTATGGCATGCATGATCATGTCATTCTGAGCCAGGGGTGTTGCCTTTCAGGCTTCTTCAGGTGGAGGAGAAGGTTTGTCTGCTTCAATGTTGCTTACTTTCTCATTGTGATTTTGGTGGTTCAGAACACATCACTCTATGGCTGCAGATTGGGATTCAATCAATAGCATATATATATGTAACATTGGAGTCCAATTGCCCTTGCCACCAACATGGGATACAAGGAACAAGACCCATTAATTCCAACCCCGAGTAGTGGAACCTTGGCTATCTGGTTGGGGCTGGCCTATGATGATGATCATTCATGTGCAATTCCACCCTTGATACAGGAACTAAATTCAGGTTGAAGAGCATATCTGTTTTGGATGTAGTGTGGTTTCTCCACTCGGGTACCAATCTTGGTACATCCATGATCTATGCAGATGCTTTTTGCATGGATAATGCCCTCATTGGCCCCTCCACCTTCTCAATGTGGGATTCTAGCTATAAGTTTCAATGGAGATATGTTTTGGGAGTTAACATTTTCCTAAATTGAAAATGTATTTCCAATAATACTTACCTCCGCTAACACTCTCCCACCCTTCCTCCCCACTAAGAGCCAGTTTTAGAGACTGGGATGGTGTCAGTCTTGAAAAAGGGATAAAATTATCCGAATGAGGTGCTTATATACAGTACCAGGATAGAAGGTGCATTGACATAGGTGGAGAGTATCACATGACAGATATTGCCAAGGGCAATTGTGTGGGGTATAAAGGACTGGGGCAAGTGAGAAAATATCAGACCAATGTTTAGATGGGCAAAGGAAGAAACCCTGGTGGTCGAGTAATAGCTATAAGTGTCAGCAGAGGAATTATTGGAAATGCATTTTCAATTTAGGAAAAATGTTAACTTTCATGAGTTCAATGAAAAATAGAGAGACTAGCTATTTGTGCACGTACTAAATCTTGCAAAAATGAAGGCATAAAAGGAAATTATAAAATGAATATTCTTTAGAAATTAATTTGATGATTTATTGCATGTTATAGGAAATCTTTAAATACCTTCTTCTTTCCCATGTTACATTACTTGTTATTTACTAATATCAGGCTATTGTAAGTTAACAATAACTAAATAACCAAAGTAATATTTACAGCCTAATCAAATTTACATATTTTTCAAAGTATTACAATTGACTGGTTGTAGATGACCTTTATTGAAGTGTTTTATAATTAGTTAGCATTGAAAACAAAATACAACATTTGTATTTACAGTTCCACAAATATGCAAATAGCAGTATTTTAATCTAAGTTCAAAATTACATTGTTATAATTAAAATTATTTTTATTTCCAGATATCCTTCACAATGATAGCAGATGGCTATGCCGTTGGGGATGGGTCATGGGAGCTTAAAGTCAAAATTACAGACATGGATAAAGACATCCCAATGAGAGTGAAAGGAGACCTCCACATTGGAGGACTGATGCTTAAGCTTGTTGAAGTATTAGGTATGTATAGCATTAGTTTTTGCTAAATCTGAATTCATAGAAAGTTTTAAACATCAAGAAAATATCATAAATATGCTATTTTTGCATATTAGTTACACAAGTTGAAAGGTGGTGGTGCTTCATGATACTCATATTGCAATGATGGCTAGATTATGTACTGTTATATTCCCTGAGTTAATTATTATATATGTTTTAATCTTATTCAAAGATATCATAATCTTTACTTCCTAGTTAAGTATTTCATTGTTCTTTACTTAAACTAATCATTTAACATCATTACTTCCCTACAGTGTTGGTTTGCAGATTTATAACCTGTGAAGTATTTAATACAAAGTAATTAGTAAAGCTAGAAAATTTTGAAAATTTGCAGATTGTCTAACTATAATACACAGATGAATACAAATAAACTAACAAGTAGATTTACAAGTCAGTTTAAAGGCTATGGTAGTATGTTTTTTTTTACATCAATTTTTTCTCACTTCCCACATTTACAGGCTTGGAAATTACTCTGATTAGAATGTGCTCAAAGGAACCCTCATAGGAAGGAAGATTCTCATTGTATTTTAACCATAGTTTTTTGTACTTACGAAAAGTGTACATTTTATCAAAACACTATAGGACTTTCAGTGTAAGAACAATTGTTCAAAATGCTTAAACAGGAGTAACTTTAGTTGTAAACATGCAGTACCATTTTTCAGTATTCTAGCAGAATAGTGTTGATAAAAGCATCCTAGAGGTACAATCATTAGATATTTTTCAATACTATAACAAATTGAATATTTATATATTTATCCTGCAAATGTTTTGTCATCTATAAGCTAGAGTTTATTCACTCTGATCCTTGCTGTAGCATCTAGTTTTGTTTCCCTTAACATTAGCAAAAGTAAAGCATGTAATTTGAATGGATTTGAACTACATATACCGTATTTTACGGAATACAAGATGCACCGGTGTACAAGACACACCCTTATTTTGAAGACAAAGTTTTTTGGGGAAGAAAGCTACAGTCACAT